AAGACGAATAACAGAATTGACGAACACCTTTAATTGCAAAAATTTAGTATACCTCTCACAAAACTCGAAAAGTTCAAATCACTTGCTAATGCCAAAAAAAAATCAAATACACTGTTTGCAACATAAGTTCATCGGTACTTTTTGAGCCTCTCAGTTGCCAAATTTAAACCACTTTACAAGATAAGCAAGTTGAGGTGCTAATAGAACTTAAATGGCAGTAATAAGTATTTTATCATATTAAAGAATATCTTATTACTTGAATAATCTCTCAAATTTTTTTATTCCTGAGAATTTGTGCTATTCTACTTAAAAGCCTTGAAATTACGATGAATCGAATTACAAAAGCGCACGTAAACAGAAAGTCATGGTTTCGTATCTGAGCGAAGAAAACCGATAGCCGGATCAAAGATGTAGAAACGAATGATGTGGTCAGATCAAATACTCATGTTTTTAACAGGTCTTCGCCCAGCTTTTTCTCGATTTCTTACCAATATCCTACTAACTGTCAGAATGATAACTGTGCGCACTTATTATATCATTTGAATACATAATTTCCAAAGAGTAAATCCAAAACTACCTTTCCGTCCGCATAACTAAGCAGTGTGAAAATTCCAAAGCAAAAAAGTTACATGTCAGAGCTATCTAGCTAAGAAAAGCTGTATATTTTTATAGTTAAAACTTTCTAACCATCAATTTTACTTCCACTTTTAGTATTAATTTGAAAATTTCTGCTTTCCAATATTTTCTAAAACCCTTTAAAAGGTTGTTACCAAACATTAAACCTAAATCAAAGATTATCATAACTAAGCGCCATACAGTTATTTGTCTTCAGAGTAATACTAATGCGTTCAACTTTTCCATCTGTATTTGTCACGTAAAAATTTTAAAAGTTAAAAAAAAGCTATGTCTGTAATTTGAAAACAGAAGTTTAAAATGCTTCATTATCGTAAAAGTCTTATTATGCTGCCAGAAAAATCACCTGGTGTGGTACCCCGCTAGTTCTACCGATGCTCGTAATTGCTTGCTTTCTTTGATGACAGTCTGATCGTCAATGGCCGCTGCTACTGCAATCTCATCGCAAAAGGCGAATTGTCGATTATTTTTTTGCAAAACTGCTCGACCAAGACTGGTTACAGTCGAAAAGTAATTCGCTAACGGCGTACCCAAGCTGAGATGAGCATGGAAGTCAATTTCTTGGTGAGGCTGTATCAAATGGTGCGCTTTAAATACATCATTTCAAAGACTTCATTTACGTCAGAAGTA